CCAATTCAAGCAGAAACAAAAATCTATTTTCTTGAGCTTCAGTGATTTATTTATAAGTAGGGAATTGAAAACATGCACCCATATAAAGTCCCTCACAGAACTGGGAAGGGACAAGTCCCCCAGAGCTCAGGGGAAGTTGGGGGGCAGCGAATGGAGAGAGAAGTAGGAGAAAACTAGGGGGAGGAAAGGAAAACATGTGCGACCAGGAAGATTGAACCTGGTTAGGAATAGAAGACAGGAAAGAGAGAGACAGAGACAGAGAGAGAGAAGGAAACATAAAAGAGGGAGCCAATATTGGTTTGAAGATAAAATTAAACACAAAGAAAGGTCTAGAGAACTACAAGACTGCTCCCAACTAACAATTTGAGCTTCTGTGGAAAGGCTATCATAAATGCCTTTCCCGGAGAGTGAGATCAACAACTAACTTATCCGTGGAGCCCTCAACTAATGCCTGTTGGAAACAGAAGCAAACACCCATACATAAACACTGAGTTGAACTAGAACCCAGATGCAGATGGAGAGGAAAATACCAGGCGACAGAAACACATACAGACAGCTTACCTGAACAAGGAGGAGCTGACTCAGGCCCTCCCTAAATATGAGTCTCAGCCAGAAGGACTGAGCAGTCTAAGGGACCTCAGACAGTGGAGCCAGGATGTATCCCTGGTACACAAAAGGACTTTGTGAACACATCCCCCATGGAGGGATAACTGCCTTAATCTAGAGACAGGAGAGAAGCCCTAGTCCCTACTTCACATGACCTTTCAGACCTACATGACCCCAACTGGATGGCATTCCCCTACATATGGAATTGGGGTGGGGGGATGGGAGGGGAGGGTGGTTAGAGTGCATGTGAGAGGGCAGAGAGGGTAAAAGGAAGGGAGGGACGGAGGGAGGGAGAGGGAACTGGGATCGACATGTAAAATAATAAATTAAATTAAAAAAAATGCTTTGACTCAAAAATTTAAGTTCAAGGACAAGTTAATGGGGAAAAGGATTTCTAGTTTTGTTTCCACAGAAAATGAAAAGATGTGGATTCTTTCCAGACTAATGTGGCTTGATCAAGCCAGACCGCCTGAAACAGAGTATCAGGTGATCTTACATTCAAAACAGCTGGACAAAGCAGCCTTACAGACTACCGCCAGGATTTCTGCATCTTCTTAGAAACCCCCATGACAGCGCCCCTTGCCAGCAGGAAGTAGTATGGAAAGAACAACGCCCAAATTCCCAAATATTGTCTATAAATGTTTGTTTTCGTTTAAATGGACTTGGTTATATAAAATAAATTAAAAAAAAAACACATTACTACAAAAAAAAAAAAAAAGAAAACATGCACCCATAAAGAAAATTCTAAAATGTATACCTAAACTTGTTAATATAGTAAACAAAAGTCACATGAAACAAGAAATGTCACTGGGCATGGTAAGACTAAGTAGTAACAATTTACCAAGTTTCAGGGTCATCTCTGTGAAAGGTGTCACTCCTGCAAACAGCTAAAGGCAGATTCACAAAAGCAGTGAGTTTTAATTCTGAAGCACAGCACTGAGTCTTGGGAGTACTTCTAGAATTCAAATTCAATTCCTTTTCCTAGCCACTACACAATGACTGATACTCCCAGAGCAAAATATATGTCCTCTTGTGCGGTAGGCCAGTCTTTCTCATTATACTAGTATGGCCCTTGCATATTGGGTATGTATTAGATCACTTTTGTGTTTTCACAAGGAGCTGACCTCAAAAATTTCATGAAGTATGATGTAAGATGTTTCTAAGTGTTCTCACAGCTCTATGGCTTCAGGAGTAACACCTACCCAAGACAAGAGGATGTAAAGGAGAAAGCTACTGATAACAGTGAAAACGGGAAGAAGCTCGCTTCTAACAGGGCAGTTTTAAAAAAGTGTATTATCAGAAGTAATACCAAACTTCAAGCTAACAATGTGAGAAGCAGACATAATGAACGATGAATGATGTACTAAACACTAGGCACAAATAGTTTAATTATCACACTGTAGCATTTCCCAGTTGTATTGAACTGTAAAGCCCAGAAAGTCTACATAACTTTTCAAAGTCATAATCAAATTGCTATTGAGCACCTAGAAGAGGCAGGAATTGTCTTCAGAGAAGCCTGGAGCCTGGAGCCACAAAAACTGCTCAGTTCAGCAACTTGCTTGATCTACGCACAGTTTGGTCTGACCTTCACTGGGTTCCTTTCCCCTTTACAGCCATTCTCCTCCAACACAACATTCACTTTCTATGATTTCTAAATAAATGTTCAAGACTGGGATTTTGACGAAAGACAATAGGAACTGCAAATCCTTTGACAATTTCAGCTTGTTAAGAATAGAATGAAAATGGCATCAGAAGCACTCACCAATCATCTAAAGAGGCCACAAATATAAATGATGTGTGTCTCATTGTGTCTAACACTCTACTGATGCAAACACATATCTTCTAAAAAGGCACATGTGTTTCTGTTGGTTCAAATGGATGCATGATGGCTCATACAATGCTATAATACTATAGTGAGCTATCAACTAATAGGAAATGTCATTTTCCCAACTCAATATAATGGAATATTCAAATTGTTTTTATTTTAAGACGTGGTAATAGCCTAAGTACCTAAATAATTAAAGGGAGCTATAATTCGGTCACTAGGTAAACATTATTACATAGTAAAAATATGAAATGTGTGTTAATGCTTAATTGTGAGTCATTTGCTTTTTCACTTCTTCCTATGAGTTTCTGGAAAGCTAAATGCTGCTTGGCTGCTCAGCAAATTAAGAGGTAGTTTGTTGTTGATCCCCCATGGAAGGCCTCACCCTTTCTATGGAGCAGAAGAGGGATGGGTCAGGGTCAGTGGGAGGCATTGGAGAATGGGAGGGAGAGGAAACTGGGATTGGTATATAAAATAATAGTGCTTCTAAATTAAATGAGAAAAGAGAAAAATAAAAGAGAGATTGTTTGTTTTGAATAGGTCCCTTTAAAAGGTATTACACTATCTGTCTTAGTCACTACTTTAAGCATCTTCTATGAGTAATGACCTGCACTGAAAATCTATTCTGATAATTTAAAAATTAATCAAGGTGTCATTTGGAATAGTAACTATGACTTTTGAGTATACATATTTTTTTCTTATGGGAATAGACATAAACACAGTCCTTCACTACACAAAATTGTGCAGTTAAAAGTTTCCATCCTTTGGGACATTACAGACACCAGCATATCTGGGGTTCATGGATTAAACTTGCCCAGGAAAAACACCTTTCAAGATCTTGGTCTCTCCCTGTCAAGTAAGCACTGATAAATTATTTTTTATAAGTGCTGCAAGTTGGCCTATTTCAGTAGCCAAAGCAAAGGAGCTTTATTTTAAGCCCTTCTACACTTAAATGTTCTAAAAAAGAGGGCATTATAACTGTTTCATTTTGCTTCAATATTGGTGTGTCATAAAGTCTAAAATGGCCTGTACCAACCATAAGCTAAGCAATTTTCAGCTTTCTCAGCTTTCTCTTCAGGACCTCAAGCAGTGTGAGTGCTGGTATACTAGTGAGCTGGTTTGTTGTAGCATCACCTCTTCAGATGGTCCTCCATGATTTCACTCTTCTGAGAAGAGACACCAGTAGCTATTCTCAATACAGCTGTCTTCATGCAGTCCTACTGAGAGATTCTATTCCTCCCATTTGAATGCCAGAAGTTGCCCTTTCCCTTCATTGATGAAGAGTTATTTTGTGTTTGTATATATATTTCAAATCACTTACTACCCTTTCTGATATGTGCTCATGAGGGTGTGCAATGAAATGGTAATTATTGAAATTTGTAATGCTTCATCTTATGCCTATTCGTGTGAACTAATGGGAAGACAGCTATTGATTGACTTTAGAAATGATGTTAAAATGATACATGAAAAAGAGAAATTTATTGAATTGTGATGAACTTCCGTGTTCATTCTAAGCCGTGTTGGATAGGATAACATGCATGTTCCTTACAGAATGCAATTTCCTCTTGTTAAATTATATTTTGAGGATAAATTCTGTACTCTTAAGAAATTACATTTAAAGATGCATTCACAAGCCAAGTGGTTAGTTTGCTAAGGTAAAAGGCTTTTATCGTGAATTAACAGAAGGGAAGCCTGACGCGCATGAGAAGTTAATATTGTTCTTTTCAAATGAGAGATATCTTCATAATGATTGTGGATAGAAGGAATAAGCAAAAACAATCCACATTTCTGGCAACATAGCAAACGTTTCAGTTTTCATCCCTTATCCACACTTTGTGCAGTCTTTGTTGCCTGTGGTAAGCAATGTTCTGAACTGGTATTTTTACGTAATCATTTAATAGTTTTACATAATGCACACATTGCCTGGGATCAATAATATTATCTGCCAAACAAGTAGATTTAAATAACTCTTAGTACAGTATAGTTTGAAATTGTCATTTCTACTATCACCTATTGTTTATACTCTATTAAAATGACCAATCTATAAAATTTATTGTATTATATAATAAATATAGCAAAGCAGATATAATTTTCCTTGTTATCTGTGGTTTCAGACAAGGGACCCAAAATGTCGTCTGCATGAATGAGAGAAAGCTAATGAATAAAATCTGCTGTGGATGGTAAGGAATTTCTTACTTTATAATCAAAGCTTTAAAGTGATTTTTAAGTGACATGTAGGATTAGATACACACACACGCATTTCTAATTATGACGCTCAAAATTTTATAGTTTTGATTCTTAAAACTCATTTGTATTAAGTTATATATCAGTTCAGCGTTTTTACCATACACTGTATCTGTAGATGTGTCCTATATTATAAAAAAAAACAATACCTTTATCTGCTCTTTTGTATACATATTAGAGAGGCAAAATGAAGACTTAAAAATATGCTCCACTTTTGATCTTAAAGCACTCAATTCTTCAAATATAGCCAGTAGTTTTATTCTGGAGTGGAAAGTAATTCTTTGGAAAAGTGAATGTGAATAGTGTCAGTGAACATTAAACTTACCAACACTTGAATTCATGTCCCCGTTTTCAGAATCTGCTCCATGTTGGTTGTTACTGGCATGATAGTTGCTCATAGCTTCTAATTTGATTTTTTTCACCTTCATTGCTTCAGCAATAGCTGCATTGGTAGCAGCTGCAGCAGCTGCAGCAGCTGCAGTCAGGCCTTAAAATAATAAATAAAAAAGTAATTCAAATTTTTTGTATGACAGTTGATGTCTTTCCACATATAAACATATACACACAAACATATGTTAGACTATCTGATTTCTTTATATTATACTGATAATATATTTCCATTCCAAACCAGCTCATCTCATGCAGCAGTGACAGATGAGTCCAAATCCTTATCAAACTCTCTACTTCAACATGAGCAGAAACATACCTCCAATATTTCATAGTAATGGAAACATGGAATGAATGAACTTTAGAGGACAAACAGTCTGAAAATCTCACTCCCTGCTGAACATATGCTACAGGTGCCCAGAAGGAACTAGAAAGTCAGAACTGCAGATTAATTACAAGGCTTCCAGAATCCAAACACTACTTCCTTAAGGTGTGATGAATATCACTTTTCTCTCACATGATCTGCAGCATCAACCTTCAGCTTTCCTGCCTGACTCACTTCCATGACTACCCATATTCTAGTGAGATTCTACTCACACTTTGGAGTCTTAATCACTGGGGTGAGATGAACTATGCTCACATATCTTTAGGGTGCATGAACACTGCACTGTATGTGTCTGCCTGTGCTTGTCTTTTCCTTGTGAGGTGGTGAGCTATTACATGGCAGAGGCCATTGTCAGTGTATAGCTATGTAGCTGTAGGGTTCAAGCTTTGTAAGTCTTAATGCAACTTGATATGCCATGGCTGGCTAATATACACAGGAGGCCTGACCTTTTCTGAAGGGAAAAGAGGAATGGAAGTAAATGGGGCAGGGGAGTTGCGGGAGGGGGTTGGGAGGAGAGGAGCGAGGGAGGGTGGAAGCAGAAATGTAAGTAGGCTGGGCAAAGAAATAATTAATAAATAATATTCAGATAGTTCAGCAAATAATTTCCTTCTACCTATTAAGTCTATAAGTAATGATTTCAGTGACATAAGAGTGATCTGATCACCTTAGTAACCCCATATATATTTTTGATACCTATCACCCATGCTTTACTGATTATGGAAAATAACCCAAGTTCTAAAATTCTATATTTAGGAACAGAATGACCATTGTCTGGGCTTTGTCTTACACACCCTTATCATTCATGGATAATAATAGACACAGATAATAATACACATGATACAAAAAAGGAAATACAGCCCTGCTTTTGAAAATCAGAATGCAAAAGCCACTGATGTGACGTGCAGCGAGTGATATAGACAGCAAGAAGAGGATTTTGAACAGAAAGTGTATTCTCTTCTCAATATGTCAATTTTCACCAAGTTCATTTTACCTTCTAACCTGCCTCTTCCATCTGAAAAAAGATACACATCATGGAAAAAATGAGTTATCTCTCCTAATTCTAGAACTTTAACAATCTATGAAAAGGAGAATGTGTCTTTCTCTGCACCCATCTTCATTTCACACAGCTGCTTGAGAGATTCTGAGCACTGTGTTCCAGCCTTCTGAATTTATCTATATGATTTATTTCCACTCCCAGTTGGTAGAGAGAATGAGCACCCCTCTTTCTCCCTTCCTCCCTACTAATCATCATCACTCCTTGTCCCATAGGGAAAAGCTGCAACCCATAGAATTACATGGAAGTCTTGGTGGAAACCTTTCCTATGTAATCAGTGCTCAGAAGATGCCACTTTCTCTTCAGATCAGTGCAAAGAAGCCTTGACCATATTCACCCTGATGCAATAAAATCTGTAGATCTGATCTTTCCTTGAAAAACTCATAACCACTCCTTAAAAGGCATTGATCTAAATTCAAAGAATCCGTCTGTGTTTAGCAGAAGCATTCATTGCCTTTTAAGTCTCAACTTGAGCAGATTCTCTCATCTTCCTATGATTGAATTTTCTCCTCAATTACTCATTTCCTTCAAAGATGTTTCAGAACATTTTCTTTCCTGTACTCTTTAAATCCCCTTTGTGATTCCCAGAAAAAATTTTATTTTTTCCTTGATGTTTGCCTTGTCACCAATGTGAACATCTTATTTATCCCTTTCCTCTATTTCCTTGTGTTGACTTGTGTCAAATTTATGTCTCTTCTCAGCCTTATGGCTTGGCTTCATGTTACAGAAAGATGCAGTAATTGTATTCAAAATATGAATACTTAAGACACAGCTGCATATTAGCCTACACATTCTAAATTGCACAATACAGGATTGTTCAGGACCTGGTCCTAGGAAAACAAATGGATATTTTTGAGCATAGTTTCTTCTACAAAACGATTCTGAGCTCAAAGAGGAAACATAATGTTCAAGTAAGAAATGTATATAAAAATAACACATTATGTTCATTACAGCCTGTTGTTCATCCTTATTCTTTTGTTTACAAAATCCACATATTAGCTTTTAGTAGGAAACTTTCTATCCCTAGTCTCTTACTCTAGATTATTTATATACATCTTTTTTAAAACATGTTTTATTTAATCCTTTCTAATTTTACATAGTAATCCCAGTTCCCACTCCCTTCCCTCCTCCCATTCTCCCCATCTCTCCCACCCACCCCATCCACTCCTTAATAGAGGGTAATGCTTCCATAGAAAGTCAACAAAGTCTGGCATATCTTTTAGGGGCAAACCCAAGGCCCTTCCCCCTATCTCTAGGCTGAGCAAGGTATCCTTCAAAAGAAAATGGGATAAAAACAGAACAAGTTTAGGGATACATATTTGTCCCATTGCCAGTGGCTTCACAGACTGCCCAAGCCACACAACAGCCACCTACAATCAGAGGGTACAGATCAGTTCCATGCAGGTTCCCCAGCTGTCAGTCCAGGTTCATTGAGCTCTCACTAGCTCATACTAGCTGTCTCTGTGGGTATCCCCCAAATGGTCTTGACACCTTTGCACATATTATTGCTCCTTTCTGTCTTTGCCTGGATTCTGGGAGCTTGGCCCAGTTCTTAGCTGTGGATCTCCACTTCTGCCTCCATCAGTTGCTGGAGGAAGGTTCTCTGATGATAATTCAGGTAGTCATCAATCTGATTACAGGGTAAGGCCAGTTCAAGTACCCTCTCCATTAATGCTTAGGGTTTAGTTGGGGTCATCTTTGTTTTTATCACAATTATTGTAACTAAATTTAGTAAAGATTTATCTTATATTATGAAAAATTTGTTTGATACTTTTTCCAAATTTTACAATTCAAATAGAACTACAAAAAGTGTGTGTGTGAGAGAGAGAGAACCATATGCACACATGAACATGAATGCATGCATGGTATAATGTGAGTAACATACAATTCTAATTTTGCCTAAGTTCTTTTGAACACAGGCAGGAAATTATGGTATATGCAATAATTACAAACTTTTATTTCCACTTAAGCTCATTGGATTTGGATGTGGGGGGGGGGCATGCGCACATGTGTGTGCATCTATATATTTTTTCAACCAATAACTTTCATGTCCACTACTGTTGCAATTACAAACTTTTGTATCTTTGGCTCTAATTCCTGCAATGCTTTCTTTTTAATAGTTCTTCCAGGGAAGAGAACACCAGTTCAGCTGGTAAACGAATAACAAGAAATCATCCCTGGAAACACAGACACACAAAAGTAACACTGTACAGACTGAGCAGGTTATATATAAGAATATGTATGTGTCCATATATGCATCCAACATGTGTCGTGTTTTTTATGTATAAACATCAGAGTCCAATTTGTGCTAGAAGTAACAGCTGAATAAGCAATGGATACATACATGTAAATCCACAAATGACATGTGCATATGTGTATGACAATTTTAACAACTGTCACTTTCCCCACCTGCAATGTTTTACTCACATAGTGGTCAACATGGCCAAATAAAATGGTGGCATGTTGATACTATTTCATATCTGCAGTTATAATCAAATGCAATACTTTAAAGTGTCAGCAAGGTTCTGACACATCCCCAGTGTCAGATTAACTTCTGTGCCCCAAATTCATAACCTGATTTCAGTCACCCAAGTGGGCTGCATCACTTTCTCTCACTTAAGTCTTTGAAGATGTCTGTCTGACTTTGTGGGGAATCCTTGTGGCCCTTTTGTTCCAGGCCTACCTAAGACATGTTCACATGGTGACTTAACTGCCCAAAGAAACTTAAAAATTCCTGACTATTCGGTCTACCTTTTAAGGAATACCTTAAGATTCACTCTTGCCAGGAACAATACATAAACTCATGCAACTGCTCAAGCGAGATTAGTAATGAACATCTTTTTCCCTCATCATAATTCTACTACCATATAAGCCATCTTGACTTTCTTATATGGTATAATTACAGCAAATGTATTATTACCCTGGTGTTTGGTGTAATTCATCACTAAATGCTAAATTCAAGTCATTGCCACACTAGATCACTTGAGGAGACACAAGAAAAAGACCATATTAATGAAAGTACAGAATATTTTTGTGTTAGCTTATATGTGAATACATGAGAACTAGCAAATCTCATAATTTAATGTAAAACATGACTCGTCACAGGTTCTTTGTGCCTAAGGTTTGAGAGGATCACAAGACATTTGTCAGCCCAGTACATCTATTATTGTTTCCTTTGGCTTTCCACTGTCCCTTTCCTCTCAAATATCCAAGATAATGTTCAAATCCTTTGAACCTTACTGTTCCTAGCAAAAGCATAGTTTGGATTTCTTTCTAGACTAAGACAGAGGTTTATTGTATATGTTGCTCCCTAATTAACTTCCTTTAAAAAAAAAAAGAGAGGGGAAAATAAATGATTTACAAAATGCCAAGAATTCAACCCTGACATATTTTGTATGTAGCAAAGAATTATTCTCTGTTGGAAACACCAGTAACCTTTCATGTCTACCTTCCTCCTCAACCCCCTCCTATAGCAATGTTTCCAAAGACCTTTGTTCTGTTCTGCTCAGACTCATGGAAACTTTTGCTTCCCATGCTTCATCTCACTACAAAGTACCTAACATTTTCACATTACCACTGCTTTAAATCCTTCCAATCAAAACAAATAATTTTCTTTTCAGAACTAGTCAATTCAGTACCTCACAAGAAAGGTGTGGGGAGG